TTACTCAATTCTTGATAAACTTGAGGAAAGGATCCTATACAGATCATTCCTTTTGCACACGTTATACACTCAATCGGATCACTCATATCCTTTATATCAATTCTACGTACCGTATTTCTCTTTATCATTTCCTTCAAGCAGCCAAAATTAAATTGACCATATCGATTATGCCATTTTATTGCCTCCTCGTTAGCTCTTGCAACGTTATAAAACTTATTTTGTGTTCTCCGTGTGCCTTCATATATGTTCAAACCGTTCTTCTTAAACGCGGTTATTGCACACTTGCGCAGGTCATCCCAAATCTTGACTGAATTCCTCGCAAAAATTACTCTTGCGCCATTGTCTGTTGCTTTAGATACCGATATGAAATTATGAGGGATGGATGTAACGTGCAGAACATTCTTAAATGTTACGTTTATTTCGCGTAGAAATACGTCACCACGGCCTAAAGCTTTTACATTAGTATTGTTCGGCAATATAACAACTTCTTCACATTATATTATATGTTGTAAATAAATCACGCACACAGCATAAATGGTTAGTCGCTCCGCTATCAATGCACCTATCATTTTCACCAATATTCTCATTTTTGCTATTGGCTCCCATTAACTGTGTCATAAGGCAGGAACTTCTTTCTTTGGTTGCGTACACTTAGCTGCAAAATGTCCTGGCTGACCAAATTTCTTGACGAATTCTTTCTTATCGGTCTTCTTGTACGTTTTCAGTTTTCTAAACTGTTTTTCTCTCATTTTCATAAACGTGCTTCACCATGTCTTACTGCTTCTTCCAATAACTTCACCTTAAAGGAAGTGATTTTAGACAGCTCGTCGCGAGTCTCTTTTGCGACTACAAAATTTTCATAATTCGTTAGCAAACTTGATAGCAGCATTATAACCAAAATCTCATCTGGGCAACAAAACCTCAACTTCATTCAGATTATCACAAATTGTACTAAACTCACCATTAGATGATTCACCATCTTATCGCCGACTTGCAGCTTCATTGACAGGAGTTTCTTGAATAACATTATCTTCCTTTTGTTGATGCGTCTCTTGCAACTTTATCCACACCTGCTCCGCCGATCTGCAATCCTTTAAATGAAGAATTTGATTTGCCTTTACATAAAAGCAATATCAATGCCAACGTCTTTTCATTCCTGATTTCAAAAACGGCTGCTTCTTCGGGTTTTATTTCTCTTCCACATGCAATTTCCCATAAATCCGAATGGATTAGGAAACTTTTCATTTGAACACTCCATAATTGCCATCGTTCAATTTCTCGACTTGCAGATTCATCTTCACTTGCTTTCACGCTTTTTCCGGATTTTTCCAATTGTTTCTTCAGTTATCAATTCACACAGAATTTTTCTTTTTCCAAAGCCTGAACGTCGATGTGTTTTCATGGTAATACAGCACTTCAGGTATAGAACCACTTTTCCTCTTATGATTTATTGACTTCCATAGTCAGGTCTATAATTCTAGATAGACCTTCCCCATGGTTAAAAACCCGTCGTTCATAAGTTATGAAGTCGGGTGATATATTGAAGGATATCATAATAGAGAGGTAGTCTGACCCCAGCGATATAACGGTTTGTAGGGAAGGATAACCCGGAGACAATTTCTCGACTTGCAGATTCATATTCACTTGCTTTCACGCTTTTTCGGGGGTTTTCCAATTGTTTCTTCAATTATCAATTCACACAGAATTTTTCAAGTAACTATTTTAATATAACCGTTATATGGGGGCTACCCGAAAAAATGAACCTATATTTATAATTATTAGTGGTCGAAAAACGCGATCAAGAATTCCAAAATATCGAAAATTGTGAGGTATTGTTATATGACCTTTAATGGAGAAATTGGGTATCCAATATGAACGCAAAGTGCCAAATTTCAGCGAAATCGGTACAAATACGCGCTTAAGAACCCCAAAATGGCGAAGCTATGGGGGGGCGAGTACCCCTAAAAGGGACCGATATAGCTCATCTTTGAACTTGACATGCCTGCAGACTAAAGACAACTCTATGCCAAATTTTGGTGATCTATCTCAATTCATTTAGAGACTAGAGTGATTACAACAGACGGACGGATGGATGCTTATATCGTCACCGAATTTTACGCTTATCAAGAATATATATACTTTATAGGGTCGGAAATGAGTATTTCGATGAGTTACAACAAACTTAATATACCCTCCATGCTATGGTGGAGGGAATAAAAAAAGTACTGGAAAATTCGTTTAAAAAATCTGTCTGAAATATTCGCCTCGGTTCTGAATTATCTGTTAAATTTGTTCATTATACCCTTCACCACACTCTGGTGCAGGGTATTATGTGTTTGTGCATATGTTTTTAAGAGACAAAAGGAATCAAGATAGACCCATGGTTTCTTTTGAGAATATACATAGAATCACTTTCTGAGTCGATTTATGCATGTCCGTCCGTCCATGTATTTTAGTGAACAAAATACAGGTCGCATTTATCATCCGATTTGGAAAAAATTTGGCACATGTCACTTAATTGGCCCAAAGACGAACCTTATTGAAATTGGAGAAAATCGGTTCAGATTTAGATATAGCTCTCATATATAGTTTCGTCCGATTTTATGTAATTGGTGCACCATACTGCCAATATTGATCCGATTGAGGCAAAATTTTGCACAGAGTACAGAATTAGGTCTAGATTGATATGTGCCAAGTTTTATTGAAATCGGTTTAGATTTAGATATAGCTCCTATACATAGTTTCGTCCGATTTTTGGTAAATGGTGCATCACTTACTTACTTAGCTGGCTTGTTACAGAACGGTTGTTCCATAAGCCGAGCTTAAAAAAGCGCGTCGGTCTTGTGCGCAAGTCCACCAATTTGGAAGAACACGTTCCAAGACGTTATTTTCTACTTGGTCTTTCCATCTAATTCGCGGCCTTCCCCTTCTACGGGAACCATCAGTAGGCTCATTTTTATATGCCTTTTGAGCTGGGGCATTTTCATTCACTCGCACAACATGGCCTAGCCACCGTAGTCGCTGCGGCTCAATACGACTGAGTATGTCGATGTCCGCGTATAAATTGTAAAGCTCGTGGTTCATTCGACGCCGATATTCACCGTCGACGCAGATCGGCCCGTAGATCTTTCGGAGAATTTTTCTCTCAAACACCCCAAGAGCTGCCTCATCTGCTTGCGCAAGTACCCATGCTTCTGATCCATATAATAGCACGGGTAGTATCAGCGTCTTGTAAGTGTGGCGGGAGGTGGCCTTGTTACTAAACTGCTTACTTAGACCATAGTAGCATCTGTTGGCCATCACAATCCTTCTCCGAATTTCAAAATTGATGTCATTCGTTTTATTTATGGCGGTACCAAGGTATATAAAGTCTTTAACTACCTCGAAGCTGTAGTTCTCAAGTTCCACAGTTGGTCCGAGTCTACTGGACGTCTTGCGCGTTGATACCATCAGCTTGGTCTTCTCGCCGTTTACTGCCAGACCCACTTTGGCAGACTCCTTTTCAATTTATTCAAAGGTGGATGTTACCGCTCGCAATGTTCGGCCCATTATATCGATGTCATCGGCGTAGGCGAGTAACATGTGTTGTTTGGTGTACAGAGTGTCATTTTTGTTCACCTTTGCGTCTCGTATGCTGCTGGTGCACCAAACTCCCAATATTTGTCCGATCAAGAAAAAAATTTGCACAACGAAATGAAATAGGTCCAACTTGATGTCTGTTGATATTTGTTGGAATCGGTTCAGATTTAGATATAGCTCCCATATATAGTTTAGTCCGATTTTAGGTAAATGGTGCACCAAACTGAAAACATTTGCCCGATTGGGACAAAACTTTGCACAGCGTATGGAATTTAGTCCAGTTTGACATCTGTGAATTTTTATTGAAATCGGTACAGATTTTTATATAGCTGCCATATATAGTTTCGTCCGATTTTAGGTAAATGCTGCACCAAATTCCCAATATTGCTCCGATTTAAAAAAATTTTGCACAGCGTACTAAATTCAGTCCAGTTTGACATCTATGAAGTTTTTGTTGAAATCGGTCCAGATTTAGATATAGCTCCCATATGTATTTTCGTCCGGTTTTAGGTGAATGGCGCACCAAGCTCCCAATATTTGTCCGATTGGGACAAAATTTTGCACAGCATATTGAATTAAGTCCAGTTTGATGTGTGTGTTTCGTTGGTTCAGATTTACATATATCTCCCATACAAAATTTTACCGGATTTATACAAATGTTACACCAAAAATTCAAGTCTGACCGATTGACATGCAATTTTTTTATAGATTTCACAATGTCACGTGTTTGGTTTTTATTGGGGCAAATATCTATGTGGATCACATTTCTTTTACCCGATTCTATCTCTTCTATCAACAGGATATTGTACACATTATCATTTCTTGTACGTACCTAAAGTTTTAAAGTCGGCCCCGTCCTTGGACTTTCCTTACTGATTTTTTAAATGCCCACCATGGATTTAATTTTTTTTTTGTTTCGATGACGAATCCACTGTAATCCACCACGTCGCCGTTGTGCAGACAACCAATCTTCCATACTAGGTTAATTATATTCACATAATAAGACTCAAACTGATAATCTGCCTCGACAAGTTTTTTTAAAATAAATAAAAAAATATGTAAAATAGTAGTGTTGTAGTACATCTGCTGCAGAGTGGATTGATTGGTCGCTTAAATTAATACTAAATAAATAAATACAATATTAAAGAGAACTACGTGAGGGTAGTAGTTAACAAATAATTGAATAAATTACAAATAATGACCTATATTAATTGAATTACAAAGTGAACAATCAGTTGTACTGAAAAAAAAAAATAAAAATAAAAAACATTTATAAATACAAAGTTCAGAAATGAAAGGAGTTACGGAATAGTTATTAAGTTTTTTATAAAATATAAAAAATTACAACAACAATTGTATTACGTATAAAATAAATAGTTGTTTTACTATCATTATTTCGTCGCCCCTTTCACTTGCTAAAAATGTCAAAAATACAACCTTTGCCTGAAAATTTACAAAAAGTAGCAATTGAAGAACTGGGAGAAGTGCCCTCAAGACTCTACGATGATTTACAGGCTTTGGAGCTATGGATTCAACAGCAACCACATTTAAGGGCTCGAACGGATCATCAATTGTTAGTGCAATTCTTGAGAGGCTGTAAATTTAGCCTTCAACGGGCCAAGGAGAAATTGGAGAGCTATTATAGCCTAAAATCAAAATATCCTGAGCTACAAAATCCCACAGATGTTGATGCACCACAGCTAAGGAATTTATTTCAAATGGGGTAAATATATATCAAATATTTATACCCTTCACCACACTGTGGTACAGGGTATTATGTCTTTGTGCATATGTTTGTAACAGGCAAAAATAATCGAGATAGACCCATGGTTCCTTTTATATGCATAGAATCACTTTCTGAGTCGATTTATGCATGTCCGTCCGTCCGTCTGTCTGTCCATGTTAAATTGTAAACAAAGTACAGGTCGCATTTATGATCCGAATTGGATGAAATTTGGCATAGGTCTCTTATTCGGCCCAAGGACGAACCCTATTGAAATTGGGAAAAATCGGTTCAGATTTAGATATAGCTCCCATATATATATTTAACCGATTTAATGTAAACACGAAAATTGGTACAGCCTAATCATTTAGGTCTAGAATGATGTCTGCCAAGTTTCGTGAAAATCGGTCCAGATTTGGATATAGCTCCCATATATAGTTTCGTCCGATTTCATGTAAATCGCGCACCAAAGTCCCTATATATCCTTCGATTTGCACGAAATTTGGCATAACGTACTGAATTGAGCCTAAAATTATGTCTGCCAAGTTTCGTTAAAATCGGTCCAGATTTAGATATAGCTCCCATATATAGTTTCGTCCGATTTCATGTAAATGGTGCACCAAAGTCCCTAGATATCCTTCGATTTGTACGAAGTTTGGCATAACGTACTGAACTGAGGCTAGAGTAATGTCTGCCAAGTTTCGAGAAAATCGGTCCAGATTTAGATATAGCTCCCATATATAGTTTCGTCCGATTTCATGTAAATGGTGCACCAAACTCCCTAGATATCCTTCGATTTGTACGAAATTTGGCATAACGTACTGAATTGAGGCTATATAGTTTCGTGAAAATATAGATATAGCTCCCATATATAGTTTCGTCCGATTTCATGTAAATGGTGCACCAAAGTTCCTAGATATCCTTCGATTTGTACGAAATTTGGCACAGCGTACTGAATTAAGCCTAGAATTATGTGTGTTAAGTTTCGTAAAAATCGGTTCAGATTAAGATACAGCTCTTATACATAGTTTCGTCCAATTTTATGTAAATGGTACACAAAAGTCTCTACATATCTTTTGATTTACACTAAATTTTTCATAGTGTACTGAGTTGAGTCTTGAATGACGTGTGTTATGTTGCGAGTGAATCGGTTCCGATTTTATGTAAATGGTCCACTAAAGTCCTTATATATCTTTCGGTTTGCACGAAATTTGGCACAGTGTTATGAATTAGGTGGTTTATGTTTCCTAAAATCGTTGAAATCGGTTCAGATTTAGATATAGCTTCTATTTAGTATAGGTTGCAATTTCATTTTAGTGGTCCATTAAAAATGTGACGTCTGTTAGGATTCATCTGTTGAATATACCCAAAGTTGTGAAGGGTATCATATAGTCGGCCCCGTCCGACTTTACTACTTTCCTTACTGGTTATATTTGACTTTTGGACTTTTTTCTATAATTTATATTTTTTATTCCTTCTTTGTAGTTGCATTGTCCCCCTGCCCAGACCCTTGAATGATTGTGGAACACGAATTATGCTCTATCGTTATAATTACCCTGTGGATAAATTCTCCATTCAAGATGTAATTTTACTCGATGTACTTCTACATGATATTTTACTAATCGATGACCCGTATGCCTGCATTTATGGTGTTATATATTTGGTGGACTTATCCAGTTTTTCGGCGGGACACATATTACAATTTTCTCCTAGTGTCCTTAAAAAATCACTAACCTATATGGAAAACTCTTTGCCACTGCGTGTCAAAGCAATGGGACTGATTAATATGCCCACCTTTGCAGAACAATTTTGTAATTTATTTATATCGTTTTTATCGAAGAAATTGAGAGAGAGGGTTGGTTAAGATCCTAGATATTTCAGTAACAATTTAAAAATGTTGTTTTGTTTGCAGGTTTTCTTTTGCAGCAAAAAGCTGGAACATCTGAGCGATAAGATTCCCTTGAAATATTTACCCGTGGATTATGGTGGTGAAAATGGTCGACTGGAAGAGATATGTTCGGATTATACAAAAATATGGAATAAATATCGTCTATACTTTGAGGAAAATTTGCAATATGGTGTTGATGAACATTTGCGTCCTGCCAAGTCCATAAATGATGGCATGTATGGTATGGGTGGAACATTTAGGAAAATCGATGTGGACTAATGGAAATAAAATTATAAAATACCCAAACATACCACATATAGCTATAGAAAACTCCTATCTTATTCTAGTGCACAAATATTCAACAAGAATAATCTCTTATTTCAAGTAGACTGTAAACGAAAATATATCCCTGTTTAAATAAAAATTCTCTCCTTTGCACAAGAGACCCACACCAAGACATTCAATATCTATATTATATGAAAATAATGTTTGCTACGTGAACATAATATATAAACCATTCCAAAATATTGAAATTATAAAATACAAGAAAATTAATTTAAAAAATCAAAAAACAGCTAGATGATCGCATGTATATACCACCGGCATCTTTCCAACAAGCTTCTCATGTTGGCACCTCCATCTTTGTCTGCCGGCTTCATCTTCTTCTTCCAGCCTGCCCCATTGGTAATAGTTTTCCAACTGGCTTTTCCGCAGGTTTGTCCTCTCGCTCCATCTTTAAGACTGGGCCATGAATTCCCTTCTCCAGCTTCTCACCGGCCACATCTTCGATTAGCTGCTCGGTACGTTTTGCCTTCATCTTCCATGGCGGGACATCCACAAACCTCTTCATCGCGGCAGTATAATCACTCTTTCTTGGCAGTTCAGAATTTAATTCCTTCGACGTCCTTATTTACACCAAAATTTTCCTGTGATTGGTCGGCATTTTTGTCCACGGGCTTAATTTTCCCGGCCGCAGTTTCAGGATTTATAGCCGGAATTTTCCTGACAGGAACGTCCGTAATTAACGGACTTTGCTTACAGAACCAATCATAGGGATACGTAGTTGAGCGTAAAAGTCGACTTTTAGACTTTTCGATTTTTGCCACTGACCAAAAAGTCGATTTTTAGACTTTTGCCTTTGACTAAAAAGTCGACTTTTCGATTTTGTCAATCCTGATTGATATTCGACTTTTACCGACTAATGCAAAATCTCCTAAAAATTTATTTTTTATATAAATTTTTGATAACAGATAAAATAGAGTTCTGGAATATGTAATTTTTGGCCAAATTTGGCTTCATGATAATAAAATAAATACTTATGAAGAAAATCGAAAGTCGATCTTGAAAAGTCGACTTTGCGATTTTCTCAAAGATCAAAAGTCGACTTCGACTTTTAGACTTTTCCATGCAGAAAGTCGATTAGTCGAAAGTCGATTTACTAATCCCTAACCAATCATATGTTGTTTTCGGTTCATCGCCATTGTCCGCCGGTTTCATCTTCATAACGGCAACACAATTATCCACTAGCGGATCAAACTTCTTCAATAAGAACACAATGCCGTATCATATTGATCATTTTCTTATTTAATTTTTTCAGAATATCTATATTCTCTGGATATACAAATACGAAGCCACCCGCCTATTAAAATTCTCCACCAAACACTCCAACAAATTCAAATTTCTGGTTATTAACTTATACAAAGTTTAAAAGAAGCTTTCTCTCTAACTGAATTCGGTCGATGCCGTGTCTCTGTCTGGTTCATCTTCTAGGGCAAGGGACTCCATAGCCTCCCAACTTTTATCTAAGCGGGTATATTCAGAATGAAAGCTTTCTCGATAAAATGTCTCACCGTCGCCGTCTTTTTCCTTGCCGCAACCACCATCAGACTTTTATGGATTTCTGATTTTTTTTATTTCTTCCACCAAGCTGACAGAATTTCCTAGATCTTCAGCATATATTTCTCCATTATCGGTCAATGATCCGGCGCGAAACCAATATTCAACAGGGTTCTATATAGTTACACGACCGGCTAATGACTTGAGAAATTTGGTCCTACTCCTGACCGTACCGCAGATAGATGTGACATACACGGACCTATCGAACTATCGAAAGAAGGGATGGGAAACCAAAAAGTTACAGATTAAACAATTACGGATTAATGAATATTTTCGTATTAAAAAGTAAAAATTCTTATAATCAAAAAAATAAAAGTACTATTTTCTCAAAAAAAAATGGAAATATTTCATTAATATCAAAACTATTTTTTTATATTTCGCACTTTTTTACAACTATTTGCGCTCATTTTTCCTCCCTCTCTCTCTCTCTCTCTCTCTCTCTCTCTCAGTCACTGTTACCGACCTCTGCATTGGTGTTATAAAATTCGCATATGTATTTATACCCTTCACCACACTGTGGTACAGGGTATTATGTCTTTGTGCATATGTTTGTAACAGGCAAAAATAATCGAGATAGACCCATGGTTCCTTTTGAGAATATGCATAGAATCACTTTCTGAGTCGATTTATGCATGTCCGTCCGTCTGTCCATGTTAAATTGTAAACAAAGTACAGGTCGCATTTATGATCCGAATTGGATGAAATTTGGCACAGCTCGTTTGTTTGGCCCAAGGACGAACCCTATTGAAATTGGGAAAAATCGGTCCAGATTTAGATATAGCTCCCATATATAGTTTCACCCGATTTAAGGTAAATGGGGTACCAAAGTCGCTATATATCTTTCGATTTGCACGAAATTTGGTATAGGGTACTGAATTAAGTCTAGAATGATATGTGCTAAGTTTCGTGAAAATCGGTTCAGATTTAGATATAGCTCCCATATATATTTTCGTCCGATTTAAGGTATATGGGGTACCAAAGACCCTATATATCTCGATTTGCACGAAATTTGGTATAGCCTACTGAATTAGGTCTAGAATGGTGTGTGCTAAGTTTCCTGAAAATCGGTTCAGATTTAGATATAGCTCCCATATATAGTTTCGCCCGATTTTAGGTAAATGGTGCACCAAAGTCCCTGAAAATCTTTTGATTGGCATGAATTTTGCTATAATGTACTAAATTAAGTCTAGAATGATGTGATGGTATAATGTACTAAATTAAGTCTAGTATACATAGTTTCGTCCGATTTTAGGTAAATGGTCTCTAAAAATCTTTCTCTGAAAATCATTCGATTTGCACGAATTTTGGCATAGCGTATTGAAATAAGTCTGGAATGATGTGTACACCTCCTATATATATTTTCGTCCGATTTTAAGTAAATTGTGCACTAAAGATCCACAGCTAAGCCGATTGACACAAAGTATTGAAATTAGTATAAATTAATCTCTGGCAAGTTTGCTCTCAAATATAATACCGACTTGTTTATTGAGATTAAATTTTAAACAGTGCAGCATACCGAATAGCGTGTGTCAAGTTTGCTTTAAATCGATTTACACAAATCTGTCCCACTGTGCCCAAACGACTCTAAACTTGCCCAAATGAAATGAAATTCTGCATACGTTCCAGAAAGATATAAAAATCAGATATTTAAGTTCGTTCAATTTCATGTCAAAATTCTTTCAAAAAGCGACGTATTTTCGGATACATATGTACCCAAAGTGGTGAAGGGTATCATATAGTCGGCCCAGGTTTTTTATATGACATTTTGTTAACAGATAAAATAGAGTTCTGGAATGTGTAATTTTTGGCCAATTTTGGGTTCATGATAATAAAATAAATATTTCGATTTGCACGAAACTTGGCGTAACGTACTGAATTGAGCCTAGAGTGTTGTCTACTAAATTTCGTGAAAATCGGTCCAGATTTAGATATAGCTCCCATATATAGTTTCGTCCGATTTTATGTAAATAGTGCACCAAAGTCCCTATATATATTTCGATTTGCACGAAATTTGGCATAACGTACTGAATTGAGCCTAAAATTATGTCTGCCAAGTTTCGTGAAAATCGGTCCAGATTTAGATATAGCTCCAATATATAGTTTCGTCCGATTTTATGTAAATGATGCACCAAAGTCCCTATATACCTTTCGATTTGCACGAAATTTGGCATAACGTACTTAATTGAGCCCAGAGTGCTTTATGCCAAGTTTCGTAAAAATCGGTCCAGATTTAGATATAGCTTCCATATATAGTTCCTTCCGATTTTATGTTAAAGATTCACCAAAGTCCCTACAAACCTTTCGATTTACACGAAATTTGGTATAGCACTGAATTGAGCCTAGAGTGATGTCTGCCAAGTTTCGTGAAAATCGGTCCAGATTTAGATATAGCTCCCATATATAGTTTCGTCCGATTTTATGTAAATGGTGCACCAAAGTCCCTATATATCTTTCGATTTGCACGAAACTTGGCGTAACGTACTCAATTGAGCCTAGAGTGATGTCTACTAAATTTCGTGAAAATCGGTCCAGATTTAGATATAGCTCCCATATATAGTTTCGTCCGATTTTATGTAAATGATGCACCAAAGTCGCTATATACCTTTAGATTTGCACGAAATTTGGCATAACGTACTTAATTGAGCCCAGACTGCTTTATGCCAAGTTTCGTAAAAATCGGTCCAGATGTAGTTATGGCTTCCATATATAGTTCCTTCCGATTTTATGTTAAAGATTCACCAAAGTCCCTATAAATCTTTCGATTTACACGAAATTTGGTATAGCATACAGGATTGAGCCTGGAATGATGTGTGCTGAGTTTTGTGAAAATCGGTTCAGATTTAGATATGTATATATTTCCGTCAGATTTAATGTAAATAATGTACCAAAGTTCTAATATTGCATAGATCGATTGATTTTAAGCAATTGACGAAGCAAGGAACCAATATATGGTTGATAGGAACAAAACGTACTGAAATTAGTATAACCCAACCTGTGACAAGTTTCGTTGAAATCGGTTCATATTTGGATATAGATTCCACATATATTTTCGTACGATTTGAAGTAAACGGTGCAAATGTTGTTTGTCAAATTGACATGAAATTTCGCATAACGTACAATAGAATAACGTAGTTGGGTTTTCTAGAAGTACAGATATAGCTCAACGGCCCAACATTTGTCCCATTGTAACAAACAAATGAGATGTTTATAGATTGATCTAAGTTGATTCACATTTAGATAAATATCACATATTTTAGTTCATTCAATTTCATGTTAATTGTTCTGTTTAATATACCCATAGTGGTGAAGGGTATCACATAGTCGGCCCCGTCCGACTTTACTACTTTCCTTACTGGTTTTTTTAAAATCTATCCGAAACAACT